TCCCACGATTTGGACTGGGTAAGGTCAATCTCCAGCACTTCTGCCATAGATGCCTCACGTGTTTCACCTCGTGGACCCTGAACCCTGCACCCAGTCAAGGTCTTGATCGGATCTGAGGATTCCCCTTTCCCGGAGAACAAGTGCACAATCCATCGGCGGCTTGCCCACAAAGATCTCCGTCTTGCGCGATTCAATGGGAGCGACTTCATCAACTTCCAGGCTTCCTCGTTGCTCTGCGGGATTTTCTCGAAGATCCGGATCTTGTCCTCAAACGGCACGTCTGACATGAACTCCGCACTCAGAACGGCTCGCAGACCATCAGAAGGATCCCCCGTTACGACGTAGTCCTTCAAGAAATCCGCCCAGTTCCTTCCCTCATGCGACCTTGCCACCTTGATCGAAGTCTCCAGCTCCTGCATGGTCCTCAGCGCCTCATCGGCCTTGGTGCCCTCCAACTCCGCAATGAGCCTCAGAGCATCACACTCTCGGACTTCCGGGCACGACGACCGCGTGTAGACTTGTACTTCAGGTCGGCTAGGGTGTCTCAATCTGCATCCGCGCGCGTTCCAGACGAACTCATACCCCAGCTGTCTAACAAGGGTTCCAAGGGGCACAATTGGTTGAGCTTGGTTGTCCCCCAAGATCGTTCCCTTGTCCGACTGAGGCAACTCAATCTTGGTGTCCCCGGCCAGCGCAACTTCCACCTTCGCGGCCTTCTTCTTCTCCTCCACAGTGCCCGGTCGTAGTGCATGAGTGGCCCCACTATCCAACAGCCCCATTTTGCTAACTGTTGGCAACGTTCCAAGGGCCTGAGCTCTTCGCACCTCCTCACTCTCAGCCGAGGTGATACGCATCACCTTCATCGTGGCGCTGTGCTCCATCAAGGACTTGACCATTCTCTGCGCATTCTCCAACATCTGCTGCATGTCCATAGGCGTGCCAGGTATGGGGTCATCTAGCGTAGATCTCGTTGCCATAGGAGTCGACGCCACCGTACTCGCCTCCGATATCACCGTGGCCACATCATCCGCCTTGATCGTCTTCTGGGTCTCGGGTTGCATCGGCTTCGCCTGCATTTGCGCCGCCGTTGGAGTTGTAGGTGTAGATGCCGTCACAGTCGTGGTAGTACCTTCTGTCGGCCTTGTGGGACACGCCTTCGATTGATGGCCCTTCCCACCACAGTTCCAGCACCGTTCTCTCTTTGCATCCCGGTCCGGCCAACTATGGACAAACCGGCATCCCTTTCCACGTCTACACCCACCATCCGTAACACCAAAAAACTTGCAAGGCTTTTGAGATCCAGCACTCTCCCCCTTGGGTTGGTTGTTGGCTGCCCCACCCGCAAGACCCTTCAGTCTGGCCTGAGGACTGTTAGGCGTGGTCGATGGCGAGTTGTTGCCCGGCACCCCCTTTGGTTTTCTAGAGGCCAGCTGCTCAAACTCCGCCAGGAGAGCCTTATGCACCGCCTTCACGTTGTCCTCCACCGGCACGAAGTCGACCTTCAGTTGGTAGCGGACCAGGTTCATACGAAAGGCCACCTCACGGTGGTCCAACAGTGGCTTCTTCACCAAGACGTCGATACCTCGAAGAAGCACCGACGGGTCTGGTATCACAACCCCCAAATCCTTTGCCCTCTGGAAGTACCTCCACCACAAGCGCAGACCATCCACAGCCTCAGCTGCAGTACTTGTCGCTGGCGGCGACTCCAAGTGGCGCAGCAAAGAACTCTTCTCCATCGCAGATCCCGGGCGATACAGCACCATCAAGCGGCTCAGAATTTCCAGCGAAGATCTCACTCTCGACGCCACAAGTTCCCGCCTGATGTCCTCAGGCGTCGATGCCAACAAGAGCGTGGCCGCCCTCCGATCAACGCGCTGCCACCTCGCCTCCTGCAGCACAGGGGAAGCCAAGGGTGCTAGGTTGAGCCGATTGAAGTGATCTGCCTTCTGGTAGGAGTCATAGTACGCCTTGGCACAATCCTTTACCTCCTGCCACCATTCCGCCGACGAAGTTGAGAGGTCTCCCATAGCGTGCTCCAGGCAGTGGAGCCAGTCCCCAAAGTCCACGCTAGCACTATCACTCAAGGCGGGAAGCATCGGAATGTCCCCCACCGGCTTGTGCACGTCTTCGGTCCTTTGGGACTTCGTAATCACCCGCTCCAAACCCTCCAACAGCCTGCTCATGGGATCACCTCCAGGACCAATTGACGGCTGTTGCCTTTCTCCTCCCGAACCCGGCGGCGCTTCTGCAGATGCCCCAGCGGGCGGTTGTCTTGCTTGCACAGCACCTCCTGATTGACTAAGGTGCCCTCCCAGAACTTGTGGTGGACCTCGTGGATAGACCAACGGCTGCTCTTGACCTCCTGCTGCGTCACTCTGACCAGATGGCATAAAGCCAAAACGACCTCCTGCTGCGTCACTCTGACCATTCAAAAAACGACCAGGTAGCGGACCAGGATTGCCTCGAGATTCGGTGGAAGCTCCTTGCTGAACTGGACGTAAACCATCTAAACTTCCCCCAGGTAGCGGACCAGGATTGCCTCGAGATTCGGTGGAAGCTCCTTGCTGAACTGGAGGTAGCGGACCAGGATTGCCTTGAGATTCGGGGAAAGCTCCTTGCTGAACTGGAGGTAGCGGACCAGGATTGCCTTGAGATTCGGGGAAAGCTCCTTGTTGAACTGGATGTAGCGCACCAGGATTGCCTCGTGGCCCAAGTTGGCTTGACGGACCCGGCAAGGCCCCCACCAGACCATTCCACAGGTGTTGGCCCCATCCCTGCCCAGGACGAGACCTTGCTGCATGTGGCCACTGCCCTTCTCCCATGCGTTCTCGCTCCAATTGCATCCTTCCCATCTCTTCTCTCAAGCTACTTGCTTCCCTTTTCGACTCCTCCAACTCCCTCATCATCCCTTGCAGTTGTCCTTGTAGCTGCTGACGCACTTCTTCCTTCACCGCTTCATAGGTGCTTCCTCCAGAACTGCCACCACCATCCATAGGCCTCGGTCCCACCCCGGTGGCACCATACAGCAGTGGAGCCCGCTGCTCCATTGCCCTCATCTGTTGCCTCTGCTCATCATCAAACAAAGGCGTCCTCGATGCCTCATCCCGTTCCCCATGCGACATAGGTGACTCCAACGCCCTCTGCGATCTCGACGGTCTCGTCACAGGCGACGGAAAGGGACTCGGCATCCACTCCGGGGGTGTCACCTGCTGTGACTGCCCCATAGCCTGGAAGAAAGCTCCCAGGCGAGAAACCCAGGTCGGCATCGCACCACGCGGTTGTGCCTCTCTTCCCATCTGACTGCCTTGCGCATTCCAGCTGAAACCTCCAGGTTGTTGATGCCCTCCACTATTCAGGCCATCACGCAGCATGCCCATGTCCCCAGCTTCACCGGCCGGCTCCACCTCCCTCGTCATTGAGGTTGAGGCCACCACAGCTTGCATGCCACCTGCAACCACCGCTCCAGAGGCTAGCGCCAAGGCCTGAACTCTTGCCACTTGACCACTTGTACCATGCCCAGAGTCCATGCTATCTCCAGAAACCATTGCTCCATCCACACTTCCAGCCACACCAGTGCCGCCAGCTTCCAGTGCACCATCCGGCCTTACGGCCTCCGGTTGGGCTCCATGAGCCTCTCCACCATCCAAAGCTGGTCTTACGACCCCCGGTTGGCCCCTCTCGGGCCCCGCAGCTGTTGTTGTCATTCTCGGCGAAGTAGGGCGAGCACCACTTGGGCTCATAACCTCCTGGACGGAGGTCCCAGGAGGCATGGAGTCTGAGGGGTTGGCCATGGCTTGTAGAGCTCACTCGAATTTCCCTTTTCCACAACAGCAACGACACGAAATCCTTGGTCTTACTCGTTCAGGTGCTATACCTGCGATGCCTGGTACATGTAAAAACTGCGTCTGCGTGCCCACACCGGGCCATGTGTTTCCTTGCCCTTCACGGGCCTCGTTGTTGCCCTTCACCGGGCTTGGACCGCTTGACAGCGACATGCACCCTCTTCTTCCCGGAAAAACGTGAGCACACCAGCACTAAACCCTAAACCCTAAGCCCTAAACCCTACACCCTAAACCCTAAACCTTTAACCTTTAACCCTACAGCACAGGCACCTCTGCGGCCCAGCACCGCAGTGCTGGTTCGCTGGAGCGCAGCCCCTCATCGATGCGACTTTGAGGCTGATGGTTGAGGCCGGTTAGGGTAGGTTCAGAGTTCAGAACTTGGGATGATCCCTCTTATACTAACAGTCCTTAATCGGGATTATAGTACCACCCCCTTTCTTATAATCCCCCTGAAGGACTGTTAGTATAAGGGGGAACAGCCCAAACTATGGACGCGCAGCAGACTGCTGCGGTGGCAAGCGCCAAGGTTGAAGGCTAGGAGGCCTTGGGGGCTTCTTGAGGGGTGGCCTTAAGCGGAAAAGAAGAGACGTTAGGCGCCCCCTGCCCACACAACCACACAAGCTGAAACCAAAACGATGTCGTTCCCTCTCACGCCACAGAAGCCCAGGGAAGCACCTGAAGATTTCTAGGACCTGCACAAGCCTGCTTGGGTATTTGCGGCTCGCACGGATGAAACTCACTAGTGATGGTCACGGGGACTGTCCGTGCAAAAGGCTAGGGTGTGCTCGACCTTTGCGGCCCAAAATCCTACTCGGGGTGGGTGGGCTTAAGGCATCAGTTGAAGAGGCCCTTCCCCTGCGGTCGAGGGCCTGAGTCTGAGGACCGAGAGAAAAACACAGCGTGAATGGAACCCTCGACAAACCCCAGAAAACACTCATTCACTTCCCCTTGCAGATCGCCCTTCCTCAAACCAGGCCAAGCACATCCCAGAGACAGTGACGCATCTACGCAGCGTCGACGTATAAGGTTTCGAGGTCTTGTGATCAAGAACCCTTGTTATCTAGGATGGCCCTTAAAAACCCTCTGAAGCATATTCCTGAATATGATCCTCTAAAACCCAATAAGGGATAGCGTAACATGTCCCAAGGGCGTACCTAGTTACGTGTCTGACAGCTTCAGGGTGCATGCTGGGAACGTGACCATCGCCACGTCCAGCTTCCGAAGAGAGCCACGGCAGGCTCCCCGCACGTCCTTGAACCACACCCCCCCCCCCCCCATGTTCTTCAAGGATCCATGCACCTATATATATATACATGTATATATATATATACATATAGATATTATATGTATATATATATATATATATACATATATAGATATATACTTGGGCCTTAATAGGGTCCCTACATAGCAGCTCTAGGGTCTAAGTGTATACTAGGTACACCCCCCCCTCCCCCCCCCCCCCATGTTCTGAGGTGTCGGAGGCTGAACCCGCTGAATCCGCTGTGGCTTCACGGACTGTGGGGGTTCGCATGGGGGGGTCACATGGTGGTAACTTCGGGCTTTAGAGCTTGTAGGCTTTCCGGGATCAGGCTGTTTTGTATTTGTGTCGAGCCTCCAGTTTCCAAGCCCAAAGCAGCTAAGGCCTTACAGGGTTTAGGGCATTCGGGGCTTAATTCTGGCAATGAGAAAATGCTCGAGGTGCTCGCCAAGCTTTGTTTCAAGAACTGGTTGGAGATCCGGCTGGTACTCAGACAAGCCCGAAGAGCCCTAAACCTTTACCGCAGCTCTGCAAAAGAACACGGCACAAAACAAACCGCTAGGGGTCAGGATTGTTGGTTTTTTGGGGGAAATGGACTGGATTGACAGGATGAATATTTTTTTGGCGTCCGGCCCTTATAGGGCTCCGGGTCTATGGAGGCCAGGCTCTGGGGTTCGTGGCATGGGTTCTAGGGTGTTGTAATTGAGGGGCCAAAATAGACCTTTAGGGTTTAGGGTTTAGGGTTTAGGGTTTAGGGTTTAGGGTTTAGGGTTTAGGGTTTAGGGTGCCTGAACCCGGATGGCCTGCTCGGCGTCGCTGAGTCTCTGGGCCAGAGGCTCAGCGGCCTTGGCCACGGCCGCGGCACCTGGGGGATCCCGCCAAGGATTTGTTGGTTTTAGGGTTTAGGGTCTAGGGTTTAGGGTTTAGGGTTTCGTTGTGGAGAAGACCTCGTGGGGTAGTGGGAACGCATTTTGACGAAGCCCGAAACCCTAAACCCTAAACCCTAAACCCTAAACCCTAAACAGCCATAGCCACTGTTCGGGCCAGCTCGACACAAGCAAAAGGGAGGAACCAGAAGGAAACGGCGTTCGATGTATTCGGGATGCATTCATCTTGGACTTCAATGTCGGCCGAGGCTGTCAACCGTTGCTGCAAACCATTGAGACCGAATCGAAACCTTACAAAGATAAGCCCCCCCCCCCCCCCGCAAGCTGAGATACTCGTTCGACCTTTGAGGGCACCAAGGACGAGCCTTTTTCCAAGGGTTTCGGCAAGCCCTAAGGCCTGAGGAAGGGGGTGGCTCTGAGGTTTCGGCTTTGAACGAAAAGAGTTGCCTTCTGAGATGTCTCTCTGGAGGGAGAAAGGGGAACCAGCCCGGGCGCCCAGTTGGCCCAGCGCAGCAGCCGCGGCCGAACGTGCCAACGGGTAGTCTCAGGCATTCAGGGTCGGGTTTTAGGGTTTCGTGGGTTTAGGGTTTAGGGTTCAAGGTTTAGGCTTTGTGGGATTTAGGGTTTAGGGCTTAGGAATTAGTGCTTCGTGTTTTCTGGCAGAAGGCTGTGGAGGCAGAAGTGGCTCGAGCTCGAAGGACCGAGTGGGTAAGAGGCCTAGATGTGAAGCTTTGGGAGTGTGCTCAGGTAATACTCTCTTCCCTGACCCTAGTTCATGGTTGGGATCAGTACCCTTAAATATGTCAGTATGTTACCACACTATGACAAAGTGACCCTAGACCTTAAGTTTTGAAGGTTTGGGGGTCCGCGAGCACTGACCTCCCAACTACTGCAACGGCCATGTGGTAATCCGGTTTAGGGCCAGTGTTCTGGCGTTGCTCAGGCTTCGGATAGAGGATTTGAAGTGTCCGTTTGTAGCAGAACGAGGAGGAGCCCGGATCATACTGCTGGATTTTTTGTTCACTGAGATGTGTTTCTTCCTTTGAGAAGGTGGAACGGCTTAGAGTTTAGGGATGGAGGGGTTGGAGGCTTCAAAATTTGTGGGTCTCAGAGGCACCCTGATTCCGGTTTGAGCTGTCAGATGCTGGTACCCTAAACCCTAAACTGTAAAACCCAAATCCTAAACCCTGTTTCGCTTCCCGGATTCCATGACCTCAAAGTCGGGGGAGGGGGGGGGGGGGGGGGGGTGCGGGAAGTAGGGTTTTAGGGTTTAGGGTTTATGGTTTAGGGTCCCCCAGGGCCGCCAGGCCATCTTGCTGGAGAGTGGTGATGATCTGCGGAAGGTACCTGTTAGCATAATTGCCTTAACAATTAGAATGGTTTGGGGGGTTAATATAGTATCTTCATGTAGGAACCCTTAGGGAATACTATTACAGCAAACTCCAGAAGTTGGCGTACGGTGTAAGAATGATTAGAGCTGGGATTCCCTTTAGTATATCTTTTGGGGTAAGGATGTTCCAACGTTTTGGAATTTACTGTAGGTCCACGTAGGACCGCTAGTGTTGCTTTGGGCGTGGGGTTCGGGCTTCGCGGGCATGTGTTGGATTCCAAGTTGTGGGGGAAAAAACCTGCATGTACCTGGACTATGTCCTACAGACTACAGACAAAGGGTCAGTCGTTCCATCTTCACTTGCGGGCCACTTGGGGTCTTCAAGCGTTTGGATTTGGAATTACAGAAACACGGACCCCTCAAATAGACCCCCAAATTGTTAGATTCCCTATAATAAGGACCTCAACAAGGTACCCCGAATTTCGGAAACTCTCAACCCTAAACCCTAAACCCTAAACCCTAAACCTTAACCCTAGTATGGCCTTATCGCGCTGTCGAGTTCAGGGTTCACGGGGTGATGTCGCCTCAAGCACTCCCTGGGCTCGTGACTTCTTCGGATACGAGAGCACTGGGTTAGACGTTAAAACAATGGTACGGTTCTGGGTTTCGGGCTTAGGGCTTACAGGGTTTAGGGCTTCGGGCTTAGGGCTTATGAAGAGTTTATTTAGGGTTCAGCGTATCACGCCCTCCAACCCGTAGATTCACCCCACACGCGAGCTCCTCATTCGCGACCTCCTCCCACCCCCACCCCCATGCTTTCCCCCCACCCCCATGCTTTCCCCCCTCGCCCAAGCCCCCCCCCCCCCAACCCTGACGGTTACCCAAAACCCACCGCGAACCATGCGGAGAAGAGGGAAACCCTTAACCGAAACCCTCAACCCTGATCACGAATTAAACAAACTAACAGGCCTCATCAGCCTGTCCGTCCTATGAATTAACAGGGGGGATACATGGGGGAGAAACATGCGGGCAGGGGGCGGGGCAGGGTTGGGGGGGATAGGGAACCCTGAACACCCTCACTGCAGCACCGGCACTTCATGGCCGCCTCCCCGAGATAGCCAAGGCCCTCCGCACCGCCTGGGTAGAGGTCTAGACCCAGCTGGAAGAAGCTTTTACTGCTTCAGTAAAAGCTTCCCGGAACTTCGAACCCTACCTGGAATACCACAACTGAAAGCAACCATCTTGAACCCGAAGCTCAAAATGCTAAGCCATGTAACTTCCCCACCCCCCCCCCCCCCCCCCCCCCCCCCCCCGCCCCCACAAAAAAAGAACAAATCAGTACCCCCCCAACCCCCAATCTTTGGGCCCATGGCTCTTGCGGAAGATTTTGTCCTCGTGCTTGTTCAGCGCTCGGGCCAAGACTTTTGCAGCCTTGCGCAACATGGCTCGTGAGAAGGGGCTGCACTTAAGGGCTTCAGAAGGGTTTCTCGGGAGGGAATTAAGGACATCTACGAAGGCTTAGAAGATTTTAGGGCTTTGTGGGCTCTGTGGTGGGGCCTGGGGGCTTTGCTGGAAGGCTGCAAGTGCCAACTTCCAAAATAAGCAAACGAAGAACCTTCAAGTAAGCTACGAATCCCTCTGTGCGGGTGATATCAGATGGAGGCATATGGGAAATGGAGGCCCAAAACCAGTGGAATACAGTTCTTTTGTCCTCGTCGGAAGTGCCTTTGATTTGCTTGTCCTGAGGACTGTTCATGGGGTTAGGCGGCCTTGGGATCAATTTATGGGTTCCAAGTCGACCACGCGACCTGGGAAACCTGGCAATATGCCAGCCGCCTCCTCCTGCAGTTCCGGCGCTGCCTCAAGCAGTTCGCAAATCTACATCTGAAACCCCGTGCCAACATGGAAGCACATGAGCACCTTACGGGGTGCCTTGAACCACCCTTTTCAAAAGGCAATCAATTGTTGTCAGGCACTTGCAGGTTCTGGGTTTACGAGTTCGGGTTGCCACAACGCGCCCCACTTCATTGGCTGGCTTGGGGGTTCGGGGCTTTTGCAGTTTTGGCTTTAGGGTATCTACGGTGTCTACAGGGATTGGGGCGCAAAACACCTCGATCTCAACCCCAGGTGCCTTACCTAAACCTTTCTTGAGCCTTGCCACCCCTGCCCCCCAAACCCCAAACCCTAAACCCTCTAGATCTGTGCTGCTAAACTGAAAAAGAGAACAGAAGCCTCAATCTTATACCGGCCTTGGACACGGCATTGGCCGCAGCTACCCGGCAGTTGGGATCAGAGTCCTCCGGCCCGTATGTTCCCAGTGGGGTCAAGGTTCGGGACTTATAAGGTCTCTAGGGGTTTTGGCCGTTGACCCAACGACCTGCCTAAAAGTCAGGGTACATATGGCCTGTTGCAGGAAGATAGGCTTGAAACTGAATCAGCACATGACAGCGAGAGTTCGTGGGACCTGAACATGTTCAGGGTCTAACAAGGAATGAGGGCTTCAGGATTTTGGGCTTGAATTCGGAACATCATCCCCGACTCGACAATGCCACACCCACCGACAAACTGACCTGTAGCTGGACGGGGAATACAATGGACCCCCACCCAATCCTACAGCGCGCTCAACCTTTTGGGCTTAGGACACTTAAACTCTACACACTGCACCCTAGCTAAAGACCCAGAAGAATTTTGCATTGTACGCAAGGAATCTGTATATTCTAACCGTATTATGTCAAGTGCTTACACCCCTTCTGGTACAGCCCCGAGCTCTCTGCCTCCAGAGCTTTCTGAAGCTTTGCGGCCTCTGCCACATGACAGAAGTTTGACACCCAAAGCCGAAAAAAAAAAAAAAAACTGCAAAAGCCAAATCCGCAGGCCCCCCCCCCGAAGCCCCCGAATGCCCTTGAGCCCTTGATCTTTGCGGGCGCTGGCTGAAAGACTGTGGGGGTTGCAAACTTGGCTTTCGGGGGGGGGGGGGGGGGGGGGCACCCTGCATCCAGCAGTCCGGTTTATCACCCAATTGCTTGGGCGAAGCTTTTCATGGGTGTGTGTGTGTGATTTAATATAACAAAGAATCTCATTTAGGTAAATGAATAAATAAAGATGTATATATACAGATATATATATATATATATATATATATATGTACTCTTACAATCATACTTGTACTTATATACAAACTTAAATCATGTTACAGGAAAAAAGTATATATATATATGCTGAGATCTATACGCATGATATTTTATAGCGATGCGACTTTGTTTTCAAATATCACTAAGACCACTTGCGTAGCACTTAAGCAGTACTTGCATAGTGCTACTGCGCGAAGTGAGGCTCTTCCATCCCATCCTCCCTCCCCCTGGTCAAACTCTTTGTTAGCACCTGGCAACAGTCCACTCCCCTACTAATTGCTGAAGAACCCCCCAAAAACATGAAAAATGACAATCCCCATATTTCCCTTGCAACGAAGAATACTTGAAATTTTTTGGGAACCTGGCAAGCGTCCAGAAGTTTCAGTCGCTAACTTGACTCTCATGGAAGAGAAGAACACTGTCAAACGGGCCACACTAGACCCAAGAGTAACCCAGGAATGTAAAAGGGTGCACTCTTTTTGGTTTAAAGGGGCTCATAAGGGAGCCTATACCGTTTGCAGATGCCCTGTGCAGGTTGATCCGGATGAAGGCTTCCCTTCAAGCCCTCAGCCCCTTAAGCCAGTTCTAGCAGCTTTGCAACAGCTGCTCGAGGCACGCCCTCTACAATCCGGTAAGGCTCGTGCCTGGGGTGCCGAGGCGAAGCCCTGGTTCGCCAAGGTCTGACGCGGCTTGAGCTTTAGGGTTTAGGGTTCAGGGTTCTCTTTCAGGGTTTAGGGTGTAGGGTTTACTGCACCAGGCTGGCATGGGAGCTTCGCTGCTTCTTGGCGACACGAACACACGCAGAGTGCGAAGGTCGACAGGTGCCAGTATTTAAAAAAAAGTGACGGCCTTCAGGGTCTTTCAAACAACTTGACATGCTGTCGGTGCACTTGTTCGAGGCTCCGCCGTGAAGCCCATACCTCGGAACACCTGCAACAGCCTATCCTTAAGCCCTAAACCCTAAACCCCAAACCCCAAACCCTTTGAAAACCTAAACCTTCCAAGCCCTGAAACAGCCAAGCAAGGCGAGGAGGGCGTGCCTGCGAGACTAGCCCCAGGCTATATAACGGAGCACCACCACAATTGGGGTTTGGGGGGCCCTATAAAGATCATGAATGTTTTCTGGCTTTATAAGGAGTACATGGGGGATTAAGGGTGAGAACATACAAAACATGTTCAAACCTACCCCTGCAAGCACTCCGGCCCTAAAAGCCCTGTGCAGCTTAGACTTCTTCGTCGCAATGGCCCTTAGGGGTTGAATACCCAAGCCCAAAAAAGGCTACGCTTTACTTTGTAATTGCATTGTATTTCAACAAAACGGTTAAAGTTTAACTACCCAGCCCCTGAGGCCCTGAGCCCTGAGGGCCCTGATCGCACCTCCAGTGCCCAAAAGCGAATCCCAGGGTCCTCGTCCTTCCAACAAGAGGGCTTTAGGGTTTAGGGTTTAGGGTTTAGGGTTTAGGGTTTAGGGTTTAGGGTTTAGGGCTTCACTATCCCCACAGCACCCACAATTGCCCCCGAAATCATGACCCTGAACCCTAAACCCTAAACAACCAAGACTCTCAAACCTGCACTGTGCACGCAAGCTCATCTCAACCCCTCATCCAAACCTACAGCCTCCGGGAATCCTAGCCCCCCCAATCCCAAACCTGTGCCGCCAATGCACCCTAAAGCCTAAAGCCTAAAGCCTAAACCCTAAAGCCTAAACCCTATAAACCCTATAAACCCTATAAACCCTAAACCCTAAACCGTAAACCCTTGCGGAAGTACCAGCTGCCTGCCGCCAGCAACTGTCCCCGTGCTCTTTTGCCACGTTGGGCTCGCGAAATCTATGAGGCAGGATGCCCTGCTCGACTGGTTACAGCATGTGCTTGAAACACAGTGTGAAATGCAAGGGGATACGCAATTCAGGTCCCACCCACCTGTGACCTGTGCAAAAGATCGTCGCCGTCCTTCCGCGTATTCTCAGAATCCGGGCCTAACATCGCAAACCTTGTGAACTGCTGAAAGCTGTACAGCGCGTATCGTTCCTTTCGATTAATCCCCTCCCCTACCCCCCCAATAATACATCCTCCCATGATAGTTATATTACAGTATATGGGGGGGGGGGGGGTATATTTAATACTAGGGGATAAGGGGGGGGGGGGGGGAGGCTTCAAATTCGGGGGGAGGGGATTACTGCTTGAAGCCCTTTCTAAGCCCATGTGCAAGACGGGGCCTCCAGTAACTCAGCCACCTCAGCCGTGTGCTCTTGCACAGGTGAGGGTCCTGGCAGATGGACGGCAAGAAACCGTCGGGGTTTTATAGGCTTCGTACGATAAGGCGCTAGCCGCACTGGGCCGCACAGGGAGGCTGAGAAAGGCGCCAGAAACACTAGGGCTTAGGGTTTAGGGTTTAGGGTTTAGGTAACGCGACAAGTTGTGTGGGCCTGGGCTGGACTGCCAGGTATGTTTGTCTGTGGACGACTGGTTTGGCAGACATGCAAGCATGACCAAGCATGGGTTCGCACCCGACGCAGCCGACGTATGATAGGATTTAGTGCAAAAAGCTCAAGTACTTGGAGGTTCATAGTACTTATTTACCCACATATAACTGTACTTATCACCCAGTTGCCAATTGCTACCTTATTCGGGCACTTAAGGGGCTCATCAGTGGGTTATATAAGTACAGTTCTAACTGCCCCATAAGTACCATGAACCTGAAAGTAGAGCTGGTGTGGGATGAAGCGTCGTCTGGTTGACCTGAGAAGCTTCGCGCAGCGCTAAGGTAGACGACGGCCTGGCACGTGGCTCAACTACACGTTCCAGGCTGGGCTATTAGACTCAGACCCTATAACCCTCAAAAAAGGCCCTTTGCAGGGGATTAGAAGGCCGAATAGCCCATCCTGGTTGTAGAGGGGCTCAGGCTTAGGCTCGATAAGGATCTGCATGAAAACCACCCTTCTGTCTAGCGTGCGGGGAAGACGGGGAGGAAGGAGTCGCAAGACTTTCTTTGAGAAGCTCAGCAAGTCTAGTTGAAAATGACCCAGCTCTCGTCCCGTTGCCAGTAGCGGCTAGCGCTGATGCTCGAGTCTGCATGATGATGATGTCAGCTGCCGGTGATTCTGAAACAAGGCTGCAAATCAAGATCCTTGGCAGCTGACATGAACCACCCGAACCATCCGGTTTACCTTTAAATTTCACTGTGAGGCAGAGAAACAAGGGCGCTGGCCGCTACTCATCAAGGGCTGTGAACCTCGCAGCGTGCCCCCAACCTCCAACCTTGAGTGTTATGAGTTCTTGTGCATCTTCGAATTCAGGAACAAGCCGGGAGAAGCACGGTGTAGCGCACTCCGCGATCGGGATCCTTCCATTTCACACCACTGGGCTGGTCTGAGATCATGCAATCGCGGACCCAGGGCTCAGGTGCCCAAATATTACATGAAAGACGAAAGATGTGACTTCTGTGCACCACGTCAAGAATGGAGCTTCAGTCTGCATTTACTGTTTCAGGGGCTTGTAAGGGGTCCCAGGGGATCCTTCACAGCTTGCAAGCCTCCAAGGGCCCAGGTCCATGGCACTCCTCCCTTCTTCCTGGATTTTATCGACCCCCAGTGCACCTTCAGCCACCACCGGTATTCGTAAACTTCGAGCATAGCCAGGGACGGGTCAAGCTCTCTGACTTCAGGCAGTCCTTTCAGTGATCTTGCTTCAGGGTGTAAAGTTTAGGGCTTCAGAAGCTTCAGAACCTTCAAGACCCTGGACAAGCACGCAGCCGCGTCCTTCAAGGCTGCCACGAAGTCCTTGAGTCCAGGGCTTAGAAGGAAGGGGACCCCTTGATGGTGCCATGCACGCTTGCACGGCTCCCAAATGCATAAAAACGGGGGAAGGCGGGGAGGATTTGCAAACACAACGGGTTTTGGCATCTCTTCTTAAGTGCAGATCCGCTTCTTTACAATGCAAGCTTGCACGGGTTAACAAAGCGGGGGGGAGGGGGGGGGCGCAGCTTTCAGATGTAGAGTGCTGCGCAAAGGCCAGTGGTAATCGCAGACTTTGCCAAGTCGCAGCACAATGCTGCTGTAACACACAGTTTGTTGTGCGATGAGCATGTACATGTGCAGATGTCAAGCCCTGCCGTTCTTTTGAGGGGGTCTTCACCGGCATTGGTGAGCGCGAAAGCTCGCACTGGCGGCGTTAGGGACGGACTTGGGGGAGAGAATGTTAATGTGACACGCCCGTGTGCTTCTTCATTCTCGCTGTTTCTCAGAATGGGGAGGGTTCAAGAAGAGCAGGGGGGTCAGAGGCCAACGGAAAAGAAGGACCCGGTCAGCCATTCATCTGGCACAGCAACACAAAAACGAGGTTTCTTGGAAGACTCTCTATAATCCAGGAGATGGAATCTGACAAATGATCCAAAACCCCACTGTGTGCCATGGCCTCGACCCTGCATGTCACAACTTCCAAACTCGCACTAACCTTTCCCAAGCTACCATTTGCTTAAGAACCCCCAAACAATACTTCCAATCCCTATAATGCCCTTATAAGGAAGAATGTTTCTTTTTTAATTTGGGGGGGGGGGGGGTTCTTAAGCAAATAGTAGCCGTTGTCTTGTACAAACTCACAAACTCAAGAAGACTTCAAGTGACCGGTTACGCACTCAGGGAACGGGTTTCCCCTCCCAACTCTCGAGTGCAATTTATTCCTCAGGGGAGCCCTTGCAAACCACGGCACAGCAAGATTCCTCACCCTAAACCCTAAACCCTAAACCCTAAACCCTAACCCTAGACCCTAAACCCTAAAGCTTTGACGCGCAAATCCTCGTCAACTCTCGCCAACTCTCTCCGCACAACGCTTGTCGTAATTGCCCCCTAAACCATCTAAACCCCCTTCTAAACCAAAAAACCCAAAACCTTATAAACCCTAAAACCAAAAGGCCTAAACCTTATCAATCCTGTAAGCCTTTCAACTCAACTCAAAACCCTAAAAACTTATGAAACCCTCTAAGCCCCAAGCCCTAAGCCCTGAACCCAAAACCCTAAAGGCGCCTGGCAGTGCTTCAGCGCCTCGGCCTGTGAGAGCTGTAGGATGGTGCTCTCGCGTGTTGAGGGGCGCAAACCCTTAAAGGATGTTTGCGAAACATAGAGGTTTAGGGTTTAGGGTTTAGGGTTTAGGGTTTAGGGTTTGGGGTTTAGGGTTTAGGGTCTTGTCATGGGCTCCCCTGCTACCCCCCTCTGTTCGACCCCCTAGGTTCCCCCCATAATTAAGGCCATTTTAGGGATCATTAAGCCTAAAACAGGTTATTTAAGGGGGGGGCGGGGGGGGTATTATAGAGTAGTAGGCAAACCCATGATATTGGGCTTATGAGGGAATCCCGAGGATTTTTTTGAGGGTGCCTCATTATCCTAAACTCCCATATCCAGAACGCGAACCTGCTACACCTGCTGCCTTGACTTGCAAGTTCCTGCTTGAAGACCTAGATCGACCCCTAGCCAAAAACCAGGCGGGCTAAACCACAGAAGTAAATTCTCTGTTCGGCTTCGATGCTGGAACCTGTTTCTTGCTTAAGGGAGGTTTGGGTATCTGTCTCTGGTCCCTCGCCATATGGTTCAGCGCTTAGCGGCTAAACGCTGAGAGCCCCCCATGTTGATAACATCGGCACCCCGAAGTACCAGCGCCAGCCAAACCCTGCACGCTTACAAGCACTTGCTACGGGATGTCGGTGGAACAAGTTTCTGACCTCAATGCGAGTACAATATGAGCAGCTCCAAACGACAAACAATATGAGGGGTCGTCTTCTCTCAGACGCTTTTCTGCTATAGGCCACAGAGCTAAAGGGTCTGCGAGGGCTTCAATAGATCAGGACTAGGATGAACTAAAGAACCCTCTGAGAAATGTTCTTGACTAGGATCCTCTTCAGCCCAACAAGGGAAAATACACAAAATGCCCCAAGGACCGAGAGAAGCTCGGTCCCGTGAGACACTGCCCTAAACCCTAAACCCTAAACCCTAAACCCTAAACCTTAAACCCGAAACCCTAAACCCTAAACCCTAAACCCTAAACCCTGAACCCTGAACCCTAAACCCTAAACCCTAAACCCTAAACCCTGCCCATCAGCCTGCCCAACGTGGCTCAGCGCAGCGGTGGCCAGCCTCCAAACAGCTTTGCAGTGCGAGGTTGAGGCCTTTAGTCTCAGGTTGTGTTGAAGTATCCTCAACCCTAAACCCTAAACCCTAGCCCTAAACCCTAAACCCTAAACCCTAGCCCTAAACCCTAAACCCTACACCTGCTATCAAAGCTCCTTCTTCGAGGAGGGGGGGGATACGTCGGGATCTTGAGGGTCGGAGATCGACGCAGACGAACGCTGTAGGGTTGGGGTTTAGGGTTTAGGGTTTAGGGTTTAGGCTTTAGGGTTTAGGGTTTAGGCTTTAGGGTTTAGGGTTTAGGGTTTATAGGGTTTAGGGTATATAGGGTTTAGGGTTTAGGGTTTAGGGTTTAGGGCTTAGGGTTTAGGGTTTAGGGTTTAGGGTTTACAAGCTTCAACCTCAGCCAGCAGCGCGGGGAAGCATGCTCCATTTTTCGGCGATGGGTTGTGGGCTTCGGGTTTTAGATCTCTAGCTGCCAGGCCCCCGTAGTTCCCAAAATCCACATCGTTTAGCACAGAAACTCAAACGTAACCCACTCCCCCTTAATATTAACACCCCCCCACCCCTAAGATTAAACGCCTCCATTATTAGGGAAGGGACAGGATTACTCAAAGCACTTGCCAAATGTGGAAGTTCCCGAAGCCTCGCAACAGCATAGACAGCATAGACTCAGCCCTTCGAAACACAGACACCCCAAGCCTGCTCGCTTGTTTCCTCCAACACTTCTCAGTGTGTTGAGCAGGTCTGCTTGACGGGAAATGGAGATTCTGTCTCAGCTAGGGTCTAGTTTTCACTACAACGCTGCCATCCTGCCGAAACTCTCAAGCCAATGCGTTGTACAAATCACCACACAAACAAACCACTTGCTAACTCAACCAGAGATCTTCTTAGAGGGTTCAGGGTCTGTCGGGGTCTGAGGGGGTGGGTGGGGGGGGGGGGGGGGTGATCACCGGCGAACACCCCAGAGAGGCTTTCAGAGCCACACCTGGAAGCCAGTCTAAGCATGCCTTAAGCTTTGGAAGTCCTCTCCGAGCCCTTACATCATGAGACCTGCGAATGTGTACCTCAAAGCATCAAAAGCATAAGAAGCTGAGCACCCCTCTTTGTACCCAGACCTCGGACAAAACTGGAACTGCTTGAACTAATTGAGCTGTGCACTTGAAACTCAATGAACCGGAAGCGACTTTTGAAGTCTGTGGGTCTGATGGCTATGTCTCGCACTGGATTTCGCAGGCCCATGCTCAGCTACATCATCTGGAAACCTGTGTGAGTGTTGCGTGGATGCGTGTTGCCTTTAAACGGAAACCGACCTTAATGGCGGTTTCCGAATTTCGGGGTCCCTATTATAATTTATACGGGAATCACCAGGGAATCCTACTATTTTAGGGGTCCCTCCATTTCGTAAACCCCCCAAATACCCCTGTGCGAGACTACCTGAGTACGACCCGTGCTGTGCAGGCAGCATCGTGTCTCAATGCCATGATCAGCTGACAAGGCCGCTTTCCCTGTCTTGGAGGACCGGACATGGCTCCGAATTTTGAGGGTTTTCACGTCGCATTCCAAGTCATTGTGTAGCTGCGCTGCCAGAACGATATCTCGGACGCCCAAAGCAACGCTGGAATCCAGAACCCTGCTACTCCTGAAGTCCGGCGTCGCCCTTCGTGAGTCGAAACTTTCATTCCGCCCGCTTAAAGGCAACCCATTCTCTGAGACCTGGGACAGTTACTACGAGTAGTCTGTGCTTGAACAAGGGGTGTAAAACTTGCATGTGTCTGTGTGTCTGTGTGTCTCTGTGTGTGAGTGAGTGAGTGCGTGCGTGCGTGGGTGGGCGGGTGTGTGAGAGAGTGTGAGTGTGAGTGTGAGAGTGAGAGTGTGTGTGTGACTCTCTCTCTCTGTGTCTGTCGTGTCTGTGTCTCTCTGCATGTCTCTCCGTGTGTCCCTGTAGGTCTCTCTGTGTCTGTCTGTGTCTGTCCGTATCTCTCTGTGTCTGTCTGTGTCTCTCTCCGTGTCTCCGTGTGTCTGTGTCTCTGTGTCCCGGTGCCTCTGTCTTTGTCTGCGATTGTTCGAGTTCTCGGGCCAGAGGCGCTGATGTTGCTCGCGACATGGGGTTTACGGCATGGCTTGTAATGTAGGCCGACGCAAGGTCATTGGGGTTTAGGCTATTTAGGGTTTAGGGTTTAGGGTTTAGGGTCCTCAACCCCCAGCGCCAACGGAGCCCTAAACTTCCAAAACCCTTACTGGGGAGCTAAACCCTAAACCCTGAAGCCTAAACCCTAAACCCTAAACTCTAGTTGAGCCCTAAACTCCAAACCCTAAACTCTTACTAAGCCCTAAGCCCCACACCCTAAGCTCGAACTAAGCCCTGAACCCCAAGCCCAGGTCCAAGACAGGCGTCAGGCCTCCTCTGGGGAGAGACCGGGGGCATGCGCCGAC